GGTGGAGTGGGCAGGGATGATCCCAGCATGGCCAGACAAAATGCCAGGAAAGCCTAGTGAGTCTTTGACACCAATGAAAGATTTTTTAAGAAGACAAAGTGGGTACTTTCCTGTGGTATGTCTTTCTGTATGCTGTGAATATGTGTGGCTCCCACTGGATAATAAATAAAGCTGTTTTGGCCTATGGCAAGAAAGCTTACAGGGAGGTGGCAAATCCAAGCAGAGATACAGAGAGAAGAAAGGTGGAGTCAGGGGAGATGTGAGCCTGCTGTGGAAGGAGCAACAAGATGTCAGCAGACCGGTAACATCACGGCCATGTGGCAACATATACATTTATAGAAATGGATTAATTTAAGATGAAAGAGTTAGCTAGCAAGAAGCTGAAGCCATAGGCCATATAGTTTGTAATTAAAAAAAGAGAGAGATAAGAGGAAGAAGAGAGTTGGGGGGTGCCAGGGACTTAGAAAGATCATTTGGGGCAGAGGGCTCAGGATCAGTCCCTGGGTGAAAAGGTATCTGGAGCCACTACAGCCCTAGCTAACAAAACGTGGGTTGCTGAGCACTGGGTGCATAGGGAGGGGTGGGAGTGCAGAGCTCAAAAACCCTGGACATAAGGGAGCTCAAACCATTTTTTTGAGCGTATGGTGTCAAACAGCCCCAATTTTGGATAAATTTTGCAGCAGAGACCCTAGGGATGACTGAGGATTGAGTTTAGATCAGCGTTGCCCATTTCCAAGACTTTGACAGAGGGCAAAGGTATAGACTAGGGAGAGGTGTCCCACACGATAGCCTGGGTCAAGCAGTGAGGATGGGGTAGCATTTGGGAAGGACATCTCTCAACACAAAGGTCCCCTGGAACAGAGATAGGCTTGCCCTGGCTGGGCAGGGAATCCCAGGAATCCTGGACCTAGAAAGAGATACCCAGGACCTCTTTAGTTGGTGACTGGAAAACAGGGGACTTACCATGAGTTGAAAGTAGATCATGTCTGGCGGAGAGAAAGTTAAAGGGAGAGGAGTTGCCCCTCCCCCACATGGCCATAGGGCCCAGTCCACCTGGCAGGAAGGCTCAACTCCTCCTGGGTTTCAGCCAAGATAATAGGTTTTCTGTCCCCTGATAATAGGTTTCTTCGCCAACACAGTAAGTCAGATCAAGCCTAATGGGAAAAGTATAACAACAGGTTTATTTGAGCAAAGCAATTCCTGGGCAGATTCTCCAGTCCCAAAGATCAAGGACAGAGAAGCTGCACACCCAACAAAAGCAGGGAGATTACATAGATTGTAGGCTAGAGGTGACATGTCTGCCACAAGCTGGGTTTGTGCCCAAGTGTGGACAAAAGCTGAGTCTTAGGCGGGGACTTGGGCTGCAGGTGGCAATGTGGGAGGAAGTTGCAATAGTCACCAAGAAGGCAGAACTGGGCATTTTGATGCCTTTTCTTTGTTGAAGATTATCTGAGAGGGCGGGGCTTGGAGAGAGACAGGAATGGGGCTTTCTGGATCAAGCAGGAGTGAACTGCAAGTGTGATATTTAGCCTCCAGCATGGATAAGCTCCCTACTTGGTCATGTGGTACAAAGTGGTAAACCCAAAAATCAAATATACCCAAACAACAAAAGCAGACTTAGCATGCTGCATTGATACTTGTACACATTTAACCTTACATATGTAACAAAATAAAGAAAAAGAGACCATCAATTTGAAATTTGGGAGGCAGAGAAGGAGTTGGAGGGAGGGAACATGGTAAGGGTTGGAGGGAACAATGGGAAGGGGAAAGTGATGTAATTACATGAAAATGAGTAAAAATAAAATTTAAATTAAATAAAAGAATGAAATTCTCTATAATGTCACTGTCCTGAGCCATCCAGCCATCAGGGTTACATCAAATGATGTCTTTCTGGTACTGTATAGAAATCGCTATAGCCTTCCTCTGAGTGAGTCTGTGCAGAGGCAAATCAGCCTTGTTCTGACATTAGAATAGCACAGTAGAGGTGTTCGTGTCACAGTGGCATTCTCAGTGCTGAGCGGTGACTTTTCCATGATGTTTTCTGTATTTGTGCTCTCTGTCCTTTATATTTGTGAGAATTCTGGCATTGATACGTCAATCTTTGTATCATATATTTTGATTGACAGGTAACATTGGCTCCTAAGCAGTCTACTTTTATGTATCATTTACTAGATTTTCAGCTAAGAGTTTGTGGTACAAGCTGAACATTCTAGAAGCATTTCTGTCCATGACTTTTATATTATACATTTGCTCCTACACAACTTTGAGCTACAACTGCTCCTAAAAGTCTCTGCTTTTGCATTATACTCATGTTCAGAATTGGACTTGTTAACAGAGCATCCTTAAGTGTAGGCAGACCTTCACATGAATGTGTCCAGATTCCCTCAGTAAAATCCCCATGCTTCCTTGGCTGAGGAAAAGCATAGCTTTGGAAATGAGTCCCATGCTATCCCACCCTCTTCAGAGAAGAAGTCTTTCTTAGCTCATGTGTCTTGGCTGTGTTTGATTTGTCTTCACATTCAGGAAGATGGGAACCAATGAAGTTGGCGAACAGTAGTGCTTACAAACAGCACCTCCATTTCTATTCGTGTTCGACTGTAGTTTTCATTATTATTCACTTGTCAACCGATTGAGGGAAGGAGACATTTGTGAGTTTGAGGTCAACTGGAGCTACAGAGTGAGCTTCAGGCCAACTGGGGCTCCAGAGTGAGAGCCTTCCTCAAAATAAACAAACAAAAACAACCCAAATTCCCCCCCCCAAAAAAACAGGTAAACAAACAAAAACCCTTAAAGAAGCTGGGTGGTGGTGGCTCAAGCCTTCAATCCCAGCACTCAGTAGGCAGAGCACGTTGATCTCTGTGAGTTCAAGATCAGCCTGTTCTACAGAACAAGTTCAACATTGGCTACACAAAGAGACCCTGTCTCAAAAAGAAAAAAAACTTAATTAAATAGATATGTTTACTTTTTTTTATATTTTTTGATTCATGGTCTCTCTAAGTACCTGCCTGATATAGGTGCTGGGTCGACCTGAGTTCCCTGTGACAGCAGAGTGTTAGGAGCTGTGCCATCTCTTCCCCCAAAAATCCAAGTACTAAATCTCTGCAGTTTTAAATCAACAGGTTCACTTTTTCAAACATTTAAAAGTTGATACTTTATCACCACAAAGCATTGAAATAATTATGAGGATCATCTCTATGAGAAAAATAAATTCACATGACACACTAGTGATCTTCAAGAATTACATTCAAGAGACTAGTCTTCCTAGAATGAAGAGTTTCTATTTGTCACCTCAATTCCTTACATGTTTAATTTTATTTTTGAGCCCAGGTTTCACTGTGTGGTGCTAGCTGGCCTAGAAGTCATAGACCCATCTGTCTCTGCCCCACAAGGTTTAGGATTAAGGCACATGTCACCATACAAGACCATATTTATGCTCTTTACATAACATCTATCTACACAATATATCAAAGCTGAGTGGTGAATAAGAAAAAAATGAATTCTAGATCTCAAATAAATATACCGTGTTCATAGTATGTTTCTTTTTAACATTGTCTGGACCTTCTCTCCTTGTTTCAATTTCTTTATTGAGGTTTGTTTATGTGTGTTTTGTGCATGCCTGAATGTATGTACCTGCATGACTAGTTCTCCCAGAGGACAGAAGAGGGGTCAGATCCCTTTCAGTCGGAGTTATAGGCATGTGAGACAACCATGCTGTGTGTTGGGAACCAGGCTCAGGTTGTCTGCAAGAGCAGCACAGTCTGGACAGCCCAGCCTTCTCTGCAGGCACTACAGGTTTCTGAAGCTGATGAGCCAGTACCCTTGAATGATGGTTTTATTTAATTTTACTTTTCTAGCAATAAAAAAACATGGCAGCCAAAGAGCACTCACTCAATGAACCCTCAAAAAAGAGCAAAAGTCTATATAAAATTCTTAGTCATGGTCATCATGGCAGTCTTCACGTTCACAAGTAAGATGTTGTAAATAAACCATAAGCTTATGCTTTGAAATTGTCAGATGTTCAGTGTGCTGGATTGTGAAGACGATACTTGACCCCAGCAGGGTCATCTTGGAAGGGAAAGCCATCTTCAGTCACCCATCACCTACTGCTTTCAGTCTCTTTAGCAATTGTTTATAAGATGTGTCAATATAAAACATGCACCTCTAATCCATCCAGGGGCTGTCACTGACTGGCCAACCACTTCTGTAATCAGAGTTAGCATGTGACTCCACCTGCTATTTTCCAAGTTCAGGTACAAATGAGTAGCCCTGGGAAAGGACATTACCTGAGATAGAAATCATATAGTGAGCCAGACTGAACATGCCAGTCAAGTTTTCGTGTGTCTTTAAAGAATCCTCAGTGGAAGGCCTGCAGGCAGGACACAGGATGAAATTCCTCCACCGAACAGTGGAGCACAGTAGTAACACAGCTGGACAGGTATTCTTCATGCCATTGCCACTGCTGCTGGCTGCTGCTTCAGCATCGTCACAGATTCCAAACAGGGTGTCAAAAAGTGGACAGTGGACTGGGGGACAAAGGCCAGGCTGCTATAGACCCATGTGGACTCCAGACAAAGACTGACACTAATGGTCCCAAAAGCTGGGGTGGCAGAGCCTGCACAAGTTTGCCATTTGCTCTTTTGAGATCGGGTCTCTCTTTTAACCCAGGCTTATCTAAACCTCACTGTGGTCTCCCTGCAACAGTGTGCTCAGTACAGAGTAGAGTTGTGTGCCACCCCTAACTTCTATTATTTAATGAGTAAATGTGCAGAATTACTAGAATTCAGGCATGGGGGTGCAGGCCTTTAATCTTAGCACTCTGCAGCAGAGGCAAACTGATCTTTATGATCTTGAGGCTAGCCTGGTCTGCATAGTGAGTTCAAGACCAGGAAGGGCTGCAGAGTGAGACCTTGAAGAAGAAAATGAAATAATCAGAGCAAGATGTAAAAATAAGTATTCTTAATGTGGCTCACTTATTTTCCCTAATGATGCAGAATTCAGAGGAAAAAAAATCTGTCGACTCATATGTCAAGTGTGCAGTAAAATATGTATATTTAGTCATCAGAATATTGAGACTCTCTAGTAAATATGGAATGATTAAGTAAAAATAAACTCCATAGGGTTTAGTTCACTAAATCCTATATTTATTTACATTGATGGGCCTTTTCTATAGAATAATTGTTTAAGAGACCATAGATTTCTGGTACAACTTTTTAAATCAAACTTTCTACAAAAATGAAAATCGTATCATGTTTTCCACTGCTGGCCTGAGGTATTGCTTAGCCCAGAAAATGGCAGGTTTCTTTGTTCTTTCTCAGTTTCATAGCAGAACCTCACTAATGCCCCAGAAAAGAGTCCTACTAAGTGCAGGAATAGTTCAGGAAAGTCTTTGCAGTCCAGCCCCAAGTTCTGCTGCAATGCCAGTCTCTGCAGCTTTCTGGGATTTCTGTGCTTAGGGTGGAAGCCAGGGATGGGAAACACTGTGCTGTGTCTCTTCACAACACTCTGTCCCTAAGGGAGCTGCTCCTGTCACTCAGGCATCAGTAGCCAATCAGGGCCTCCAGATGGACTACCAGTCAGAATAGGGCGGGCACTTCCGGTACGCCATGCTGCAGGCTCGGCGGCTCCGGGACTGAGGGAGACTCTCTTGTTCCGTGTGCTGCGGTGTGACCCGCTGCCGGGAGCTGTGAGGAGAGCGGGGCGAGCTCGGAATCCGCCATGGTGAGCGAGGGGCCGCCGTCCCCGCGGGAAGGGGCCGCGGGAACCGGAGTGGGGTCCCGGGGCTGTGGGAACCGGCGGACGCGGCGCCCCTTGAGGTCCCTGAGGTCCTCGCTGTCCCCGGAACTCCGGAGTCCTGTGGCTTCTGAATGACTTAGAACCGCGGCTAACCTCGCGGCTGCGCAGAACATGGTGGGGTACAATGTGAGGATTTGTCAATATTGTAGACGTCACCATGCAGTGCTCGCGCATGAGCAGTTTTCATCGTCGTCTATGGAAGGCGGATTGGCTAACTCTCTGAGCATTAATCTCTCTACTGTCTTTTAGAAGTTCTGCACTTGGCACTGAACATTCAGGTATAGATCCGTCTGCAGTTAATTCTGTGCATGGCGTCAATTCTGTGTCATTAACTCATTTGCATGTAGATGCCAGGGTGGTCCAGTCACGAGTGTTAGTAAGGCCAGCCTTACTGTGATTCCTGGCCTCATGTGTCACAATTGACTCTATATTAATTATGTCTTTATTTCTAAATTTCCTCTTATGTTCTATTGATCTTTTTATTCTTTCCCAGACATTCCAGTCTTTATTGCAGTTGTATGAAAAGTTTTTAAGTCAGATGATGTCACTGTGTGTATGCTATTTACTCAATATTGTGTTGATAATTTTTTAAATTGTTAGACATCTTATTGGACGTTTGTTGTATCTATAGCACAAATTCTGTATTGAAATAATGTTGAGGCTTCTTGTCCACAGTCGTGGAATTTCTTTCCTTTGTTCCAGTCCCTTGATTCTTTCAACTGTGAAGTTAATAGCTTTGGTTACAGATATTTGTTACATTTCTTTTGTATTTCTGGTTGTTTAATCCATGGTGACACATGAAAGATATGAGGGTATGTGTTTTTTATTTACCAAGTTTATTTATTTCATGTATATGAGTGTTTTCCTAGAATGGATGGCTGTTCATCGCCTATGTGTTTGGTGCCCACAGAAGAAAGCAGGGGACATCATATCCCCTGCAACAGGATGCAGGGATGATTGTGTGCCACCATGTTAGTGCTGGGAACCAAACCCAGGACTTCTGCAAGAGCAACAAGTGTCTTAACTGCTGAGTCATCTCTCCAGTCCTAAACATGACAGATTTTCAAAACTTTATGTGTGTGTGCACATGTACATGCTGAAAAGCCAGTGTTAAGAGAGTTGAGGTTTGCTTAACAATCTGTCTTTGGGGGCTGAGAGATAGATGACTCAGGAGCTATGCTGATTAGGGTTGGTCAGCTTGACACAAGCTAGAGTCAGATTGGCCTGTAGGCAAACTTATGGGGTATTTTCTTCCTTAATGATTGATGGGGCCCATCCCACTGTGGTTGGTGCTACCCTGGGCAGGTGGTCCTGAGTTCTATAAGGGTCAAACTGAGCAAGCCATGCTAGCAGGAGGGCAGTAAGCAGCATTGCTCCAGGTTGACATATGTGGAATGTATAAGCCTATGGTGTATCTGAGTTAGCAAATCTGTTCGTGGCCAGCTCCTCTTTGTGTGTTAGGTAGAGCTGGAGGCTTGTAATTATTGAAGAGAATGTTCTTTGTTAAGGTCTAATAGTGTGCTCTAAGGTTGCCTGGATCCCAGTGTGTAGCTACACAATCCATTGACATTACTGTCCCCCTAAATCCACTCCTCAATTCTTGGATTAAAAGTTTTTGGCACCTCACAGTGCGAAATCTACCCATTTGAGTCACAGAGTGGGATGTCCATTTCAGTAACAGGAAACTTGTTTGTATTTGGAGCATGGTCTGTTCTCCACTGAGGCCCGAATAGAGGGAATAGTTTATTATATACATCACAGAGGAAACAGACTAGGCAATGGCTTGGATTACAAATTGTTTAATATTAAGACAGTGAGCTGCAGGGGTTTCAGAAGAAGAATCTGATGGGACAGGGCGAGTGCCTTTCTCTGTATTTCCCAGTCTGTTAATTCATACCATGTGAATGAAGGAAAACCAAATTGGTGTATGTACGGTTTGTGGATGTTACTTTGAGCCACTGAAATTTCCGATTGGGCAACTGTCTGGTGTTGATAAGTGCAATCCTGGTTGTCTCACTTCAGTCAGGTGAGAATTGAGACACAGGGCATCTGGCTGTGGCTTGTGTGTCAGCGTACAGCAGTCAGCAGCCAACATTTTACACAGAGAAGACCATACAATCAGTTATTTATGACATTCCCTCTACCAGGAAAGGACCTACTCTTTCACAGTCAGTATAGGTAGGTGTTTTTAAGGTTTATTTTTACCTCCTTTGTTGGAATCTCTGTTAGTGTTATATTGCTTTGAAGAGACATCATGACCATGGCAACTGTTATAAAGGAAAGCATTTAATTGGGGCTGGCTTACATTTTCAGAGGTTTAATTCATTGTCATAATGGTGAGGGACATGGTGGCATGCAGGCAGACATGGTCCTGAAGAAGTGCTTGAGAGTTCTACATTTGGATCTGCAGGCATCAAGAAGAGAGAAGGCCACTGGGCCAGGTTTGGGCCCTTGAAACCTCAAAGCCCATCTGCAATGACACATTTCCTCCAACAAGACCACACCACCTAATCCTTCTCAAATAGTGCCACTCCCTGATGACTAAGTACTCAGTCACAGGGCATATGGGGACCATTCTCATTCAAACACCACAATGTCACTTCTGTTCTCCAGTGACTCCCAGTTACTAAGAACTTTATTCGTGATGGTGGCGGCACATGCCTTTAGTTCCAGCACTCCAGAGGCAGTGGCAGGTGGATCTCTATGCTTGAGGCCATTCTGGTTTAAGAGTGAGTTCTAGGACAGCCAGGGATACACTGAGAAACCCTGCCTCAAACATCCCAGAAAAAGAACAGACTTGATTTGATGTTTCTCAAGTGGTTATTCATGTATATATTTTGAGAGCAATGTGCCATGTAGCCCAGGCTTGCCTGATACTATGTCCTTGAGAATTGCCTTGGACATCTAAACCTGCCTCTGCCACCCAGGGCTGAGAATAAAGATATGCAGGTCAGAAGGAAAAAGACAAGGAATGAGTGTCCTCATGGAGCCCAGGCTTTTATTAGGGATTTCTGATGCAGAGGAAGCAGTGTAGGAATCTGCATCCATTTCCTACCTGCAGGCTGGTGTAGCATGAATCTTAAAGAGTCTTATTAATAAGAACGAACCTGGGGCCAGTTATTGGGGTGAATGCTGGAAGGTCAGAGAGACAGAACAAGCCACAGCTACCTCACCTCGCCACTTCCTCAGCTGGTCCTGTTTCCTCAGACTGGAAGCTTCTGTGTCCTCATCCCAATGGCTCTCAGCTAAACTGCTGCTTGAAATCCTGAAGCTTAACCAGCTAAAAGCTTAACCAGCCAGATGCTTCTAGTTTCTGGTCCTCACACCTTATATACCTTTCTGCCTCCTACCACCACTCCCTGGGATTAAAGGCCTGAGTCACCATGCTTGGCTGTATCCTTGAACAGATGGATTTCTGCCTCTGGAATGCTAGGATTAAAGGCGTGTGCTACCACTGCCTATCCTAAGTATCTAGTGGCGTTTCTGTTCTCTGACCCCAGATAAGTTTATTAGGGTACACAATATTTTGGGGAATACAATACCACCACATTTCCCCTTTTTTGTCTAAAATTAAAAAAAGCTTATAACTAATACAAGAAAAATTATCCAATAAGTATATACAATATATGCAGTCAAGAATTACATTAACGATGTCTAGTCCATTAATATTTGACAGATTCAGACAAAAAACTGCATTATATATATTAACAATGTCCAGTCCAGTAACATTTGATAAACTCAGACAAAAATTTTATTACTTATCCTATTTAAAACAAGTAATTCCTTTTTTTTTTTTTTTTTTTGGTTTTTCGAGACAGGGTTTCTCTGTGTAGCTTTGCGCCTCTCCTGGAACTCACTTGGTAGCCCAGGCTGGCCTCGAACTCACAGAGATCCGCCTGGCTCTGCCTCCCGAGTGCTGGGATTAAAGGCGTGCGCCACCACCGCCCGGCAAGTAATTCCTTTTTAAAAGTATTTTTTCTTTTCATAATAGATTCAGTAATCTACCATTTTTCATTTTTATATCTTCCTCATTTTCTTTTTAGTGTAGATTCAGTGATCTACCCATTTATCCTATTATTTCTTTATCTTTTTTCTTAGAGTAGATTCGATTTACTTCATACGTATATTCTCTTTTTTCTTTTTCTTTCTTTCTTTTTTTTTAAACAAAACCTCTGAATCTAATCTCCTTGTTCAGCTTTTTTCCTGACCATTAACAATTAACAACTTGTAGCCAACCATAAACAATGACAATATCCAAAACTCATTAAATGACCAAAAACCTCCCATCCCACCTCTTGGGAATGTGGGTGTCGTTTTCTTAAAATTACTTCCTCTTTCTAGGGGTGAAGACATCTTTAGGGGATCCTGAAAAGAAAATTTTTGGGTTAATTGTCAAGTCCTGTATCATTTGTCCAGTCTCTGCATAATAGGAAAGTTCAGGGCTTGTTTCAAGTCCTTGTTCGAGTAGTCTGTCAGACTGGATCATTTCAGCTAGTCATCTCAAAATTGTTCTGACCAGTTTGTAGTCCAAAGTCGATCTTTCCTTGGTGTTAATCAGCTTAATGGCTTTACCATAGTCCATGTAGAATCATCTTTGTGGAGTCCTGTCTTCCTTTTGAAGATTTCAAAGTCGCTGTTAGGCGTGGTCATGGTTCCCTATAGGTTTTTTTTTTTTTTTTTTTGGTGCCTCCTCTGTGGTTTGGAGTAGTCACAGTCTGATAAATGTCTGTCTCTCGGAACCACGAATGTTCTTCCCTAGAAGAGAAAATCTTCACAGCAATTTCTCCCCATCATTTGTCTGGCCAAACTTTTCCAAACTGACCTTTGTGGTTGCTTTCTTGCAACACAATGGTCCTGGCAATTCTTCTCTGAACAAGCAGTAGTAAACCCTTTGTCCCAGGTAGCAGCATCACCGCAGTCACCAA